AAGAGTTTCTGCTCTTTATTGCTCTGTACTTGTCTGTGAAGGCTCAGGAGGGCTGCATGCCAAAACAGGGAGATCGTGTTCATATTAGACTTTTCCGTTTGTTGGCAGTCATCGCCAACGATTGAATGCGATACAGTGTACTGAACCTGCGAGGCTAGAATGCGATTAGATAGTTGTAATTGAAACCATATAATCTTAGGTCTTGTTTTCACTACCTTCTCGAGGAGGGGTGAGGCTAGATCTTTCCAATATAATCTTTTTCTCTTGCAGTTCACTGTTTTCACATTTTCTCTAGTTTTCCTTAAATACGCATTTACAAAATGGAGCTTGAGTATGTAAGAAGTTTATCCAAGACTTTTTTGAAAATCCATTGAAAAATATTTGGTAAAAGATAAACTTTAGTGAAAATTCTAGTTGTGCTCCCGTGCCTTGACTAAACATGGTGTGAACCAGTTCCAGGTTTATGATGAGGCCTGAAATGGGTCATTCAGAGTGTTTGATCACTTGCAGTTCCTGCAGCTCTGCTGATCCGCAGTTAGCTCTACAGCACTGGAGAAGATTTTGCTGAAAATGTTTTCCCTGAATAATTTGAGACTTTAAAAAAAAAAAACCAAAACACTTGCATGACATGATACAAAATTATTATTACTTTATGCAGGTGCATACCAAAGAAACAAGTTTGCTTGACTAGTTTTGGCAAGTTCCAATGTAGCCAGCATGAATGTGTGCCGAGGCAGTTAAATTGTGACCAGACACGGGATCCTGTTTGTGACACGGACAATGTGGAATACAGTAACTTGTGTACTTTGTACCAAAAAGGAAAAAGTTTAGCATACCGAGGACCATGCCAGGTAGGAAGTGGTTCTAGCAATAAATATCAGATCTTCTTTGTTCTTTGATGTTCGATTTTGCAATATTCTGGCTTTTTGCAATATTCTGGTTTTTATAGCTTACCAAATGTTTTCAATGAAAGTAATCCTTTAAAAATGTCATTTCAGCTAGCGTAAAAAATACTCTTACAAAGTTGTATTCAGAATTTTGTCATGTATTTCTCTGCTTTAGTTAACAGTTGTCTCAAAACCAATCAAAAGCTTTACTTACGCTTTCTTGGGAATAATACTCTGCTTTTTATATTAAGTCTTCCTATATTTTTCACTCTTAAAGCTTGCACTGAGGTATGTTTGCAGTAATTAGTCTAGCTCCCTGGTTAGTTAAATGGTAGTTTTTAGCAATTTGAACTTGTTTTAAATAAGGTTTAATGCCTGGTCATAGAAAGTCTTTAGCATTTCATGTGGTGTGGCCCTGGTTTACCTAGTTCGTTGTTCAGGGTCCATTTACACCTAGGTTACGTTGGAGACTAGGCAGTCTGTGATATTTTCTTTAGTTAGTCTGGATTGGATTAGTCTTCATATTAACCCTGAGAAGGATTAGGATTCGGTTTAGTTTTCATCCCAGCGCTCCCTGCGGTGTTGGTAGCCAAGCTATTGCCGTCGCTGTACGAGAAGTCAGGAGCTACTCGCTTCAAAGTTCCTGGCTGTACTGTTGAGAGGCTGTTCATTGCCAGGTTTTTCTCAAATGATGAAGATGAATTTGAGACCTTCTTTCGGTCTCAGCTGATGGATATTCTTAGAAGTGCAGAATGTTTTTTCAGGGGTTTTCTGTGTTGTAAGTGCTATTGCTCTTTTAACCCACTCCTAGTTTCTGCCTTTCCATCTTTCTACCTTCTTGTCTCACCCTTTTTCAGCAACCTCGTTAAGTACAGATAATTCTTCTCATTGCACATCAGGTATCTCGTGATATACTCGGAGAATGTTCAGCCCTTGAACAGTGAGGACCAAAGGAATATTGCATGGCTATTTTTTTCCCTCCAGCAGCTGTATGTCTAGTTGTATCCATGTTCACAAAGTTTTTGACACTGGTAGCTTTTCGTTTTCACTCTTGCTTAGATAGGGAAGATGACCGCAAGGTGTGAAGCTGTTCGGGGTGCTCACATTTACTTGTCCTCTTACCTGTTTTGTTGCTAGCTTGGGTGTGTAACATAGAAACTGCAATTATCTTGCTGTTTTAGAGAATATACGGTGATTGTATAGCTATGGTGACTTACTTGAAATATGAGTTAGTTTGCAAGAAATTGTGGAATAGGTTGTGTCATTTCACAAGACTTTGGACAAAAGTACTAGTCATCCCTTGTCTGCAGAGAGTCAGCAATTCCATTTCTTCTGTCCGCTTTCAGAACCTTATTGGCATTTGACCTCTTGAATATGTTGGACAAATCTGTGTGCACAGGCGGGATAGGAAGAAAATGTATTATGATTTTCTTTGGGTTTTACCAAGTGTTTGAATCAAATTACATGCTAGATATGTTTTTCTGAGAGAAAATGGACACAAATATATTTTTATAGATGTAAAAGTCTCAACAACGTATTTTTGACAGAGGTGTCTAGTAATGGATTTTATTCTTTTGAAGTAAATGTATACATTTAGCTTCTCAAATAACGTTAGGAATACATGCACACTAAATTTTAAGAATAAAAAACCCACACTGAGATGAATGGATAGATAAATTATTAATAAGTCATTAAAATATTAATAAACACTACCATAGCAGATGCTTCATTAATACATTTTATTAATAAAATAATTTGGTTTTACATAATAAAATTATAATAAGCAAATCTAATTTATTTTATGAGCAGGTTAATTTCACTGACATGGTCATTTTATTTATTTGAGTATTAGCCTAGAATAAAAGTTGTTGTTTCCCAAAACACGTCTTATTGTACATTTCTCAGATTCCAACTTACGTTTTTCTGTCACCTTCTTTAAGTACTAATCTTGGCATTTCTTACCCATTCATAAACTGGCAGGTTATTTACACTATTTTGAATGGTTGATCATGTTAGCAGCAAATTCCCATTAACTTTGTTTTTCCTCGTGTTAAAACCACCCCGAAGTTTCTGCAGCACTAATAACTTGGTCTTTGAAATGTTGCTGTGTGTCTCAGCCGTTTTGCAAGTCGGTGGAACCCGTCTGTGGGCACAACGGAGAAACCTACGGCAGCGTCTGTGCCGCCTATTCCGACCGCGTGGCCGTTGACTACCACGGACCCTGCCAGGCTGTCGGCGTTCTCTCGGACTATGGCTTCCACACGGAGTGTGCCTTCGTTAGCTGTCCCCGGCTGGCGGCGGCTGGCTGCAAGCCGGTTCTTGCGCCAGGTACGGCAGCACGTGGTTGAAGGGGAGAGTCTGCAGGCTACGGGTGTAAAGGGGTGTATGTTTGCCACGAAACTTGTGCTTTAGAATACTATGTGCTGTAATGTCTTTGGGACGTGTAAGAGAAAGGATGAAGTAAAGATCTTTCCTTGGGGCTAGAACAAGCCAGTACTGGGCCTTGGCTGAGTAATTCTGAAGCGGAAAGGCCTCGGCTTTAGGAGTCGCGCCCCTTCAGCCTTCAGAAAGCGGCAGCTGTCCGCGTCGGACTGGTTTGGGAGAAATGAATGTGGGCTGTGGTGGCTGGGGTGGAATGTCGCCGGGAAGGGGATGAGTAATCCTGCGGAAGTGGCAGCACAGATACCGCACTGGAATGCCAAACTGTCATCAGAGTAGAGCTCCAGGAGAACAAGGATGGTATTTAATTAGAAGACAAAGATACCATGTGTGTTTATGGTTCTCTGGAAGAGGAAGGCAGTTGGAATAGTTTTGCAGTTGTGCTGTTTTGAACTGATTTTTTTATTGTTTATGAAACAGCAACTAATTACGGGTAATACACAGAGCAAGGAAAGCTTAGTTTTTAAAAAGAAACCGTTGATGCATTTTTCTCATTCGTGGGTTTGAAAAAGGGTCTTTGTGCTTTGGTATTCCATTTAATACTGTAAAAGTCACTCCGTGAATGTGAATTATATATAATAAGTTGGGGAGGGGAGTGAATTAAATATACAGTCATGGGTAGAAAGTTGAAATAGTAGCCTTTTGGTTTGTGAGGTGGTGAGGAAAAACGGTAGGAGAAGCGTGATGTGCTTCTGTGTTAAACATGAATCTGTCAGAATCTTTATTATACAAAGATCCTAAGCTCCAACATGGTACAACTGCATGACTTGGTATTTGCAGTGTGCCTGGTTGTTTCAGTCACGTCCTGGCTATTCCAGCTCTGGAAGGCCATCCTTTCCGTAGCTGCCCATGCATGTGTCTGTACAAAACCTTGGCCTGGGGTACCCACAGTGCCTGCGGTTTGCAGCAGACAATAATGTGTCATCTTGAAACAAATGAAAAATCATCTTGTTGCTTCACGTTCATAGGAGGAAATGCGTGTTGAAAGGCGACTGCTTTTGCATTATAAATGTTTTCAACAGTAAAAAATGGTAGAAATTGAGCAATTCTGGTATCAAATTGAAACAATAACTTTGCTTTGGTAGTTGTCCTGTTTCCGTTCCCAGTTAGCGTTCAACTTTCGACCTCTGCTTACTTCAAAGTGAAAAGCTTTGCTTTTATTTCTGAGGGTTTTTTTATTCACACAGGAGCCTGCTGTCCACTCTGTGCTGGAATGCTGAGAATCCTGTATGACAAAGACAAGCTGGACACTTTTGCAAGGGTAAACCCTTTAATCATGCCTTGTGTTACCTGGTACATGGAAAAGTCAAGTTGCTGTGTAGTCTCTCCTGAAAAGTTAACACGTTACCAAACCAGTTCTTTTTCAGTAGGCAGTGTGTGGTTTGGGTTTTTTCTTTATACTGTTTATGTTTTCCTTTATTTCTTAACAGCAGGTAAAATTTAATTACAATCTAAAGCAAAACAGAATTAGAGTAGGCACAAACAGGGACATTCAGGTTTGCAGTTTAGATGACTTGTAACAGTAAAGACACATTATAGGAGAACTGCATCTATGTCATGGTAGTAAAAGACTGTATATTTGTTATTTATGGCCCTTTTTGTGAAGATTGTTCTGCTAGCTCACTGTTTCCTGATGTAGGTAACTTAGTTCTGACATTGCCTTATGTTTAAGCTTATTATTTTATACTCTTTGGGATATCTAGATAGTTGTCACTTATTTTTGTAGCTCATCAGCTAAAATGTTGGATTTTAATTTAACATCTCTGTAAGTTAGACACCAGCATCCTTCATTGCTGCTCTTTGAAAACCTCCAGTGTAAGATGGATCTCCTGATGTTGATTGTCCATTGGTGAACACAACAGACTAGGCCCAGACTCCCCATGTGGTGTATAAAAGGTTTGCACTTTGCTGACCCCTGCTTTTATGCTTCGGAACAGGGAACAGAGCAGCTTGATTTTGGCAACAAAATCGAGTAATGTGAAGATCGTGCCTCGCAAAGCAAAACAATTCATGTTTGCAGCTGCACGTGATTTTCATTTTTTTTGAACATCAAGAAGAAAGAGAATTTCACCAAAACAGTATAAAATTGCATTAACCTGTTTATATATTTAAAAGGAGAGGTAATTAGCTATTACTGTAAAAACACCGAAAAATTTAGCTTGAACATGACCCCTGGAGATCATCTAGTCCAACCCCCTGCTCAAAGCAAGGTTAACTCCAGTTAGATCAGCTTGGCCAGCTGAGTTTTTAAAACCTTCAGGAGTGGAGATTCCACAAGCTGAATGCGCTGGATTCTCTCCAGTTCATCGGTGTGGCCTGGGGACAGGGAGTAATTAAGGGGGGACAGTGACTTCTGCTGGCTCTGTTCTGCTGGTGCAGGCCCATAGGCGGTTGGTCTTGGCCGGTGTGCCGCTGGCCGGTGTGCCGCTGGCCGGTGTGCCGCTGGCCGGTGTGCCGCTGATTTCCTCTCAGAGACTTTGTGCGTGTCGTGCGTGTGTGTGCGTGGACCAATTTTGCTGGGTAACAGTGTCTGTCAGGCCATGACTGCATCCTGGAATGTCTCCCAGTTGTCATCTCTAATGGTACCAGGGACATGGTGACCGCTCCAGCTTCTCAGTTCATACATTACAACAGGTAGCAGTGAAGAAGAATTTTTAGGTTTAGTTAGAAGAAGGCTTTCTAGTTAAAGAAATTTATTGGACTTACTCAAGTAGTTATTCAAGTAGTCGGTCATGACTTAACTACTCTCCTCTCGCCTACTAAGTACTCAAATACCTGGATTAGGGTACTTAGTGGTTGCTTTTTTTCTTCTTTTTTGCCACCTCTCTTTTTTCTTCCGTTTGTCACCACAGTCTTGCTGACTTTCTCTTCTCCTGCCCACCTAATGCTGCAATACACAGTCTTCAAGTTTTCAGGATTCGTATATATAAATGTATATATATATTTAAATTTAAAATACGTAATCTCTCAAACATTAAAGTCAGCATTTTCTTAGCCCATACTAGATATTACAGAATTTTGACTGAAGCGCTGTCCTTTGGAAACTTCAGTCAGGGGTCATCCAGTAAGCACCCAGAGATGATCTCTAACTAGTCACAGCCACCCAAAGACTGTGCATGGTCTGACACTGCCCTGAGCATAGAGAATTGGGAGCTCTGTGCCTTTGTTACTCCAGTGTGAGTCAGAGGCCAGCTAATATCTCCTAATAATACCATAGAAAATCATAGAATCACAGACTGGTTTGGGCTGGAAGGGACCTTAAAGACCACCCAGACCACACCTTCCACCAGAGCAGGTTGCTCCCAGCCCCATCCAGCCCGGCCT